TCTCGCCTTTCATTGAAGCGCATGCCGCTGCCAAGAAACACGGATATTCTTACCGGCTGAAAGAAGTGACATTTTTTTCGTAAAATAATCTGCTTTTTACAACCGGCGAGAATCGCCGGACTTGCTGCCTTTGTTAACGGTTAACTAGTTACAGCGACGTGAGACTCGCACTGCAATTATCCGCTCCGTTTGTAGCGTGCAGCGAACTGACTCAGTTAATTTAGGTTGAAGCACTTGAGGTATACAATAATTCATATCTGCCCAAGATGCGCTTTATTTCACCAGTATAAACACTTTTGACCTTTTCAGCAAACAACGGCGGACTTTCGGCAAAGTTAACGGGCTACCAATTTCGCTACCGCGACACGGTAGGCTCCTATATTGCTTCCTCTGGATTTGATTCGACCTACGTGGGTCAGGGCTTCATTGTATGACACTGTCAAAACTGTGACATTTCTTCTGGAAGCCAAGCTTGCATTAGACATACAGAACTTGACTGCTGATTCTTTTGGCTTTCCTATGCCAAAGAGGAGCGCGCTGTAGTTATTTAGTGCAAAATATTGCAAACTAGTTCATATTACACATTTACATGTACACCTCCACGTACACAAAGAGGGTCTTAACGCGAAGCAGTTATGAATGTGTCAAACCTAGATGTGAAATTTTAACAGGAAATCTGGTTTTGTCCTGTTGAGATCTTTCTTCTCTGATCACTAAGCCAGCATCTATACTTCTCAAATGTGTGCACGCTGACAAGCGAGGCTTGGGCCCATAGTTTTGCGCTACAGTTGAGCCAGCTCTTTGAGATGATGACGAAAATCGCAGTATATATGTGCTTTACCATAGAATAAAGACCTGTAACGGTAGCCTGGGCTGTTACCTGTTCGATCAGCCAAGGCACCGCCAATAGACTTTGTGTCGAATCCGGACATGAAAATTTATGCCGGAGCAAAACATACACAGATGAGGCAAAGTTCGCGGTAGCTTTGCTACAACAGAGGCATACTTGCTGTAATGATGTGATGCGCAAGATACAATTCGCAGACGTGGCTAGTCCACATTGCAGATTTACATATACACGTGCCGGAAGTCAGGCCTCAAGGACCCGCCCTAGCGTCCTTCTCGCAAATCAAAGACACCTGCGCTGTGAGTGGTAAGTGAGATATTCCAATTACAATATGCAGAGCTGTTTGATTCCACCCTCTTCTTGGCCGTGTTGCTGAACTGAAGGCTGAGAAATATAATTTTGGCTTCAGTTTAATTGTACCCCTCTGCTCAGGCGTTTTGCTATCACCGAATGCAATAGCTTCAGAAAACGCCTTTGCAAGCGGTTCATCCAGGGATTGGGTCTCATGCGTCCCCTCAAGGTGTCAACATGGAGTGCCTGTCCCTATGAAAGCCCTTTCAGAAACCCTTCTACTTTTGGCTTCTCCAGGCATGCAGGATGGAGACGAGGTTTTTCAACTGAGCCTCCATTCGATGGTCTTGGCGACGCCGCTTTCTTGGTGTTAGCTTCTCGGTATTGCATTCGGCGGAAGGCGTCTGTGCGTCTGACTCTTTTTGCTGCTCCAGAAGTTCCGCGATTGTTGCCCATTTAACTGGCCGTGTCTTTGCTTTCTGGCGCGGAGTAGGAAGACGTCTCTCTGTTTCCTTTGTTCCGTTCGATGCGTTTGTGACAGGACGGTTTTCATCGATAGTTTTGCGTTGATTCTGTTCTTCTCGGGCTGGCTTTTCAGGAAAATTGTTACTTTCTGATTGCCGGACCGCAGGCGGTGGTGGCAGTGGTGCTTCCTTATCTCCGGTCTGTCGCTGACCATCAAGGTGTGCATTGCATTGTCCAACTGCCTTAAGTAGTCGTCGCTGTGTCGATTTCATAGACACTAACAACTCTTGAAGGACGGCGTTGATGTATCCGAGCTGTGAGATGGCTTTGGGCCCCAGTTGTTGTACACACTTTCTTAGTTGTGCCGGCGTCATGCTCGGCAGAATAGTAAATGATGACATACTCGATTTGTTTTCCAGGAACTTGGCGGTAGCTCCTGTTCCTTTTGATTCAGTTGGTTCAGGTTTGTAAATGCGTGTCCATCTGTCTAGTGATTTCTTTAGACCATCGAGAAGAAAATGCCATCGCTCAAATATTTTCTCCGTCTCGGCTTCACTGTCTTGAGATGATATTTCTCTTTCTTCTAAATTAGGAAGAGCCCGCTGTTGAGGAGCATTTCTGGTGAGCTGGGCACCTGCCATCTGGTCCCGCACCGGTACGCAATTTTCGATAAATTCAATCTGCTCTGGCTGAATATATTGTCTTGAGTGAAAGCTTGATGCAGCGGCAAAATCCAATGCGACTTCCCTAACAACCTGCAGTTGTTCGAGGCGCATGCGCTTCTGCGCTCGGTCTTCTTCGTCAGAAGATGTCATCCTCTGAAAGCTCGATGAAAATGTTAGCCCAGTGAGAGGATCTTCACGTGAAGATGCAAAAAGTAGGCTCAGATGGCTTGTAGTGTAGGTGCGAGACACCTCCCAGTGTGCATCCAGTGACTGCTCGTCCTGGGCAAAATGCAAGCAGGCCACGGTATACAAGACTGAAAGCGGCGGTATTTCTGTGTTGGGGAAGCTGTAGACAAACGCAGCAGATACAAGTCGTCATTGGAGACCATCATAGATCAGGTCAGCACATGAAGCATGGCTTGCTACGTGGACTTCCACATTGCGTAATTTTGTATCTCAGCTTCAAGGGCAGCCTGGAAGGCATATCACTTGTTCCTATTCTCCATTGATATTGTGGAGGAAGTGCTGCCCGTTTGCCGGTGCATAGAGTCGAAAAAAATTAGTTCAGGCCTTCAACGGCAAGAACACGCTGCCTTCAAATGCTACTCAGTGTGTGCTCCAAGAAGTCAAGAACAGACTGTAATTTATTCTCAAAGTTGATCCTGTAGTCCCAATCGGCTGATTTGGCGTTAGCTTAAGTGAATTTTATGAGGCAGCTAGTGAGCCTCTCAGTTGCATTGCAAGCGGCAAAACACACCGGTAAAAAACAGTGTCTTAAAAGGTACAGGAGAGAAAAGCTGTTCGCATTGATAAAAACAATTGAAGCGATTATCAATAAGACTCGAAAATTCGTGGAGAGTAAGAAGTGTGGTGATCAAAAGTTGATGCCCAGACCAGCGAGCAGACATATCGACAGCATCGCAGCTTGCTCACCGGCCTTGAGAAGCGCTTTCCTCCACACAATCAAACGTCCAGAAGTACATATTTTACCGTTACAGCAGCTTCAATCAATTATTAATCGATGCATCTTTGATGCGGGTTTGCATCTAATTGTTGCAGCGTTTTTTGCCGGACATACCCGCAATCGGCATTATTCCTCCGGATGAAAAAGCTTTAGCGCACGCACAATATCCATAGACAATATGATGCTAAAAAACATAAAATAACCTTATGCACCATATAAAATACATTAATTAGTCATTATTTCAAGAAGAGCCGTAACACTTCAAACAAATGCGGCTAATGTTGTTGTTCTTCTGCGCCCCCAAGTCACCAGTATGCGGGTGGGAATCGAGAAACTGAGCAACTTTATCACAAGCACTGAGGGTAAGTTAGCACACCTGAGTTCTTCTTTCGAAGTATTTTGCAAAGGACGGTATTGGGTGTACAGCTCCACCGATGAGCTAACGAGACAACTGCGGAAAGGTTTCAGCGATACGAGTGACCCGGAGTCGGCGCACTTCTTTCTAGTCAGCCTCCACTTGCAGTCACTAGACAGACAGACACTTAATTCACCATAAAGCGAGCTTTTCATATGTGTACTTACGCAATCTGTAGAATGCAGAGCTACGGAAAGAGCTCTATCGGCTGGATCCCATGTGCAAAAATGGACTCGCACTGCCCTCGAAAAAGTGAAGCTACGCCAACAAATTGCATACGGGAGCATGATGCCTCCATTTTGAAATAAGACCGAAGTAGTATTTATGGAGCGATCGCCATTACAGAATAGTCCGCGAGGCAGTTGAAACAAAAGCTACGATGCAAACCATCAGCCAGCCGCATCGACGCGTCCAATAGCCTCGCGCGGCTCCTTCTTTCGGTAACTTCATCTAGACCTTTCAAAAATGTTACAGCCGTAATTAGCTATACGGATGAAGGCGTCAGAAATTGGCAAACCACCTTTCAACGACGACACCTCATTTTTACAACATAAGTCACGTGGTCGATCTACAAACGCTACCTGCAGTATTTGCGCTCATTAAACGAACAGATAGGCAGTATTGGGAGCCGCTGGGGATTGGTGAAAGCCTGCAATCTGCGGTTTCTTTGCAGGATCCGTTCCCCATGCAAATCCGTTCCTGGGACCGACTGCGCTTAGTACTGCTAATTATTCCTGGACTATTGGCTTTCGTCCTCCTAAACTACTAGCCTTCGTTGTGAACCCGTACAGTCACTGCTAAGGATGAAAAATGCACGTTCCACTCCAAATAGTCGGCTTTTTTTAAGAGCAAACGCTCCTCCAGTCAAGCACAAAACATATCTAGTAGCTTCATGTCCGGCCCAAGCAACCCGCAGCCAGGAGTGCGCTGCTGGCTATCTACTACAGTGGTGTGCCACAGCTAATCAAAGGATGCACCTGTTATGGCGTGTCCATCTCATCAGACGGCTCGCTCAGTCTTCCCATTGTGGCCCACTCATTCACTAAGGAACTGGGGGAAACAATAAGCCAGAAAAATCCTTACATTGTGGCTTCCTCATTCACTGCAGGCTTGCTGCAGCTCTCAGCAGCAATCGTAAGCTCTGAAGCAGGTATCAGCAGCTGCTTGCTGAGAACTAGGAGTTACACTAACTAGTGCGGAGGCGGCACTAGCAGCGGCCACTGCACAGGAACAGTGGTTGCTGAAACTGCTTTCCAGCAGATACACAGAATGCGCGTGACTCTTCTTCCCCTTCCTCCGGGCGACAAAACATACAAGGAACACGAGACATGTGGGAGACGCCGCTCCTCCCTTTTACTGCGCGTGTAAGAGTTGGGCTGCTGCCATCTCTGCCTCTGCTGCTTCCGCTTCTGCCTCCTCTGCTGCTGCGGCTGCCTCCCGAGCAGCAGCTGCAGCAGATGCAGCCTCTGCTGCCCTCACCTCTGCTATTGCTCTTGCTGCTAGTGCTCGAGCAGCAGCAGCTCTAATTGCTGCTGCCTTCTCCGCCGCTCCCACATTATCTTCTGGTGGTGCGGCCGCAGCAATTGCCGCTCTTAGTGCCTCTAGTCTGCTGTTGGTGGCTGTTGCTGAGGGCTTTGCTTTGAAAACCTGTAGGGCTGCAAGTGCTGGCAGTTTTGTTGCTGCAGCCGCCAGCAGTCGCGTCGGACTAGAGACTGCAACAGCACCGTCCGCAGCTGGCTCCGCCACAGGTAGCAGCTCAGCAGCGGAAAGAGATGCTGAGGGGGCGCCTGCCTTTGTCTGGAGCGGCTGTGAGGGCTCTGTGTAGACCACGTTCAAGAAGATATTTGCGCAAAGAGCCAACGTCAGGGATACCACGAGGACGGCCGGCCCTGAAAGAATGTGACAGAACTTCACAGAAAAAAGGTAAGTAGACCTTCAACCCCAAACACATTTCGAGCGCTTAAAGCTGCTGGGGGACCTGAAAGGACGAAGTGCAGCAGGAACGGCAGAAGCAAAAAACCCTCCATGGCTGCGCTTGCCCAATTTCACACGGTTGCATTTGAAGTACTGATTCGGTGCTGCATGCGACACAAATGCTGCATCACAACCTACCAAAATGATCGTTGTAGTCGATGGGTTCCTTTCTCTCCAAAGCACGAGACCTTCGCAAGTATATCTGAACAAACAGCCCAAGCCCTAAACCCTAAGCCTTTACGAACAACCCAAGCCCTAAACCCTAGACCTTTAGTTCCAAGCGGCCTGTCTTCCTCATTTTACTGGCAAAGTCTCCCTAGCATTTGCTGCTAGAAGGTGCTGCGGAGTGTTTTAAAGTGCTCCTGCTGCGTTCGTCACTGCGGCTGCTGCTGCTCCTGCCCACCCAAAATGAGTAGCCGATGAAGAATATTGCGACGGGGGCAAGAAGGAGCCCTGCTGCCTTTGCTGCTGTCTGTCCAAAGGAAAGCAGAGTTATTGCCACCGAAGCCAGCAGCACTGCGATGTTCAGCCACTGCAAAAGAGTCCTTTCATTGGCAAAGAACGTCTTCGGCTCCACGCGAACAGTGGCCCCTGCTGTTGTTGCAGCCCTGCTTCCAGCAGCACCTGAAGAACCTCGGAAGGCTCTTCCCCCGAGCAGGCGAGCTGGCAGACACCGCGACATTCGGGCGCAGCAGCGCCGCAGAGCCGGGAGGCAGCTGCCACTGCCAGTGCAGCACGAAAGCCAGGGCGAGCTCCGGCGTTGCTGCTGCCGCCTGTTGCCGCTACTGCTGCTGCTGCTGCTGCTGCTGCCGCCGCCACCCAGCAGAGGCTCACGGAGGCCCCTAACACCCATATTGCCACCCCCATACACGGGAGGCCCTGTGGAGGTGGTTTCCAGAGACTGTCGTAGTTCCTGAGAAAAAACATAGGTCGCATCCGATAGCCGCAAGTTAAATGTTAAAGCTCTTTACGGACGGTCAATCCAATGGCTGGCTCTCTCACGACCAACAGCAACGGAAAGTACAACTACCTGTACCGAAGCAAAAATTTGTTTTGAAGAGCTCAAAGCGCAGGCAAGGTGAAGCTGCTCACCTGCACTGATGCCTCCTGGTCGTGGGCGATAGAGGCTCCAGGGCCCCTGTAGATAACGTCCAGCTTAGAAACCCTCGATGTCGGGCAGTTCGCCGCGGCAGGGGGAGACTCGCGCTTCTGCTGCTGCTCTTGCCCTTGCTGCTGCGGCGGAGTTGTGCGCGGCGGGTGCCGCTGAACCTCCTCAGAAGGCGAGGGGGGCGCCGCGGCTGCCATGTTGGTGGCCTGCTGGAACTCCTGTGCGTCTTCTTCTGCCACTGTGGTGTACGCGAGCCAGTGAGGCACTAAGGCCTGGTTGTTGGTGCTGTTTATTCCGGACCGGCGCTGCAGCTCCTGCTGGAATCCACTGGCGATCCCGTGTGCAAATAACGAAAACCCAAACACCTCTGTCACGCTCGCCATTCCTGCAAAAGGATTCCAAAGTTCAGCTTCAACTTGACCTCCTGAAGCTGCCTCCCCCAAACACACAGCTGATATTCTCATTCTTACCAATTTCTTCAACTCTCCATGCTGTCCCTGTCTTATAGGGCTCAAAATTTTATATGCAGTTGGCTTCCACGGACCTATGAGCGTAGAAGCTGCTTAGGAGTTGGGGGTACGCTAGGCTGCATTTAGGCTTGATTGCGAAGTTCAGAGTCTGCAGCTAAAAAGCTTAAAGAAACTCACCCACGACTTCCCTGAGACAAGTAAAGGCTGGAGATACAGTGCAGCGCTCCAGCGGCTGCTGAGCTGGTGATGTTCCAAGCGGGCGGCGGCTCGAAACGTCCATTACACCCCAAGGAAACGGCGCAGCTCCTTCAGACGCCAACGCGGCCGCTCCATTGAAGAGGAAAGCTGAAGCGACACGCCACCAAAGACAGCCATAAAAGCTGCTGCACCCGAAGCATTCAACTCTTGTCAGCGCAAGCCGTCAGCTGGCCAGGCTCAAGGCGAGGCTTCCGGCATTCTCTCATGGTTTTGCATGTCAGGATGAAATTGCAAATACCTTTTGCGTCCCCATCTGCAGGGTTCTTTGAGAAACGGATGTCTTCGTCCAGCGTCACATATATCGACCCATCTTCGGATCTGAGAGCCACACCCACAGCGCTTTTACCTTTCGTCGCTGAGCCTGGCCCCATAAGTTGTGGCTGGTAGTTGTGCGTGACTCAAACGTGCAAGACTCCTCCTGCCTCCCCGAATAGCAGCACAGGTGAACGCTGCTGGTGTGCACGCGTTCAGGTTCTAAGGGGAGGCGCTGAAACCTCCTACCTGAAGCAGGTCCGCGTCAGCCAAACCCTGAGGCACGGATAAAGGTTTTCCTCAGTCAGCATATTCGCTGCTTTCCGCAGAAGAGCGGAGCGCGCCGCAGTTTGCTCCCCTGACATCCCTGCAGCGCAGCGCCAACGGCCTTAGCCGCAAACACGAAGTGCTGGATTCCGTGCGTGTTGCCCAAACTTTGCATGGAAAACAACGAAATAGCACCTGATCCTGCCTTGACAGCTGCAGCGCCTTCTTACCTGCTGCCAGCAGCTGCTGCTCCACCTCCTGCACTGCCCGCTCAGTGTCCTTGCCAAACAAGTGCTGCAGCGACTGCTGCTGCACCAAGACGCTCCGCGGAAGCGCCTCCAGCACCTCTGGAGCCTGCGAAGAACACACCCGAAGAAGCTCCAGGCCGGCAGCAGCTGCAGCGCTAGCCTTACAACTTCCGTCAGTTCGAGCTGTATCTGGTGCTGCAGCATCTACTAAGAGGGTCCGCTGCCTCTCCAGAACGCAAGGGCTCGCTGAGTGCTCCGCCTTCATGCAATTCAAGAACAAAGGCTCAGGACTCAGGGGCTTCGGCTTAGGGGGCCCTGTAAGGGCTAAGCGTTTACGTCGTAGACAGGGAAGATCTGCTGCTCCGGGTCCGAAGATGGCTCCACGGGATCTATGAACTCTAGGAAACGCAGTGGGTTGTTCGGCAGCGACGCCAGCTCCCCAGCATTGGCTTCTCTCACCCGCAGCAACTCCGTCACGCTGCACCTGCGGCCCTCACTGCTGCTGTCAGCGTGTCCCTTTGTTTGCTGCACACACGCGCAGCAGCAGCACAGGAGCAGCAGCACAGCTGGCGAAGGCTCTGCTGGCTGCAGCACAGCTTCGGCGCCCAACAGCAGCAGCAGTCGGCGTTCGGCGTCAGCATCAACAACAGGATCCACACCGGTACCACAGGTAAAGACTACAGCAGCTGCAGCAGCAGCACAGCTGCAGCAGCGGCCGCAGGCCGCAGTCTGCATGCATACCAGCTCAACATATAAGTCCAGATTTGGAGTGTCAAAGTAAACGAGAGACGTCAGGCGGCGCGAATCCCCAGAAGCAAGCGCCTCCGCGACTCTTGTGCTCTTGCTGCTCGCCTTGGTGCTGCTATTGCTGCTGCTGCTGCTGCTGCTGCCGCTGCTGCTGGTGCTTGTGGCCCTTGCCGGTACTTCTGGTGCCAGTGCCGCGCTCTTCGCAGCTGCTGCTGCAGCAACTGCCGTTGCTGCTGCCGCCGGCAGAGGAGTCGTGGTGTCCACGCTGCAGCCCTTCACTGAAGTCAACACCAAATGCTTCGCCAGTGTGACTTGCAGCCTGTTGCGCAAAGTCGCATCTTTGCTGGGCTGTCTCAACACCCGTGACACTGCAGCACTGCTTCTGGCTCTGCTGCAGCAGCTCCCGCTGCTGCTCCCCGCACCGCAATCTGGCGTCGCTCCAGAGCAGCAGCCGCGGCGCCAGCACAGCAGCAGCAGAAACTGCAGCAGCTTCAGAAAGCAGCAGAACAGCAGCAGCAGTCGCAGCAACTGAAATTGGACATTTCCACCTTACCTGACAACCTCATCCGGTAAAATTAGGTACTTTGTGGTCCCCGAAGAAAATCCCTCTGCAGCAGCCTCGCCCGCAGACTTGGATGCAGCAGCAGACGCTGCTGCTGCCGCCGAAGCTGCTGCTGCTATTGCTCCTGGCGCTGCTGCTGTGGGCGCAACGCCACTCGGCAATTTGTTTCCTGCTGCTTCTGCTGCCTTTGCTGCTGCTATTGCTGCCTCCGGGAAGTTTTTCATAGCCTTCAGGGCCCTCAGTTGGGCATATGCTGCGGCTAGCTGCTGCAGCAGCAGCGGCAGGTTCAGCCTCATGAACGGCTGCCGCATAACCCTAAGGCGCAGCAGCAACACAAGCAGCAGAAACAGCAGCAACAGCCAGTGTGCAACACATGCATCAACTGCGCGGCATGCTGCACCCAACTGATCGCCACCAGCAGCCAACTAGTCAGGACTTGCAAAGTCACCAACAGCAACAGCAGCAGCAGGAATGGCACTAGCAGCAGCACCAGCAGGAATGGCACTAGCAGCAGCAGCAGCAGCAATGGCAAAAGCCCCCGCCAGCACCTGTTTTGCACTACTTGAAGCAGCAGCTGCATTCTTAACAGTCCAAGCAGCCCCAGCAGCACATGGAGCAGCATCGGGAGCTGCAGCACCAATATCAGCAACAGCTGCAGCAGCATTAGCAGCAGCAAAAGCAGCAGCAGCAGCAGCAGATCTACCTGCACATATGATAGGCTGCTGATGAGGACTTGTTGAGTTTATCAAACTTTTTTGCAATTTTTCTAAAAGCTGTAAAGTTAAGACGAATATACGAAGAAAGAAAAATAACTTCTTGACCCTCAGCGTCAAGAGCTCCTTCTACTGCTAGCAGTTCCCGTTCAAATGCTGCTTCCACTGCTGCTGCTCCCTCGGCTGTTGCTGCTGCTGCAGCTGCCTCCGCCGCTGCTGCAGCAGCAGCAGAAGCAGCAGAACCTGAGGCCCCTTCTGGGCTCTCCTTGCCGGGGCTGCCTGTGGCCGGAGCCTCGCCGCTGGGGCAGGTCTCAGCAGCAGCTCCTCCATCTTGCTGTTGCTGCTGCCGCTGCAGCGGCAGCTGCTGCTGCTGCTTCTGCTGCTTGGGCTTCCTCTGCTGCTGCCACGGCTGCTGCTTCTGCTCTGCGTCTTCATTCTGCGGCTCTTGCTGCTGCTGCGGATTCTGTGGAGAGGGAGGGTTCAACAGCAGCTCCTGCTGCTTGTGCTGCAGTGCGTAGAGCTGCAGCAGCAGCTGCTGCAGAGCAGCAGATGCTTCAAGAAGCGTAGTGACAGAAAAGCTGTTGACCTTCGCCAACTCATGCTGCAGCAAATCCTCGAACCGGCTCTCCGGCGGCCTGCAGCAAGACACCAGCAGCAGCCGCAGCAGCGGCTTAGCCCACGGCGGGGGCTGCTTCAGCAGCAGTACTATCTCCAACAGCAGCAGCAGCATCAGCGGCAGCAGCAGCAGCACACTGTGAGCAACAGCCATGTGCCAAACCAACTTAATGAGCGCAAGCTCCCCGAAAATACAAACGCAGCACACGCCGCAACACAAGTAGCCAGCAGCAGCAGCAGCAGCAGCAGCAGCATGACCTGTAGTGCTCTCCCTCGAGCGCCTTGGTGTTTGCGAAGCTGCTGACTGCGTCCTGTATCGACACCGCAGACACGTCGGCCCCAGTGAAAAGCTTTACTGCCTTTTTCAGTTCTTTATAAGAAACATAAAAAGCTGCACGGCGGCGCTCGCGGAGCTCCTGCAGCCGCTTCGAGAACTTCATCTTGCTGCTGCTGCTGCTGCTGCTGCGCTCGCTGCTGCTCCTGCGCTCGCTGTTGCTGTTGCTGCTGCTGCTAGTGCTCCCCGAGCTGCTGCTCCGAGTCCTCCACGCGCTCGTGCTGCCTCGGCCGCCCCTCACACCGCTGCCGCTGCTGTTGCTGCAGTGCTGCTGCTACTGCTGCTCCTGTGCTGCTGCTGCTGCTAAAGGGTTGCAGTCGGCAGACCTGAGCATAAGAGATGTCGCCGCAAATGGCAGACACCAGGGAGAGCTGTGGGGCGAATCCACGGACCCGCAGACAGCTCCAAACGAACAACTTAGCATGCCGTTGCTGCTACTGCTGCTGCTCCTGAAACAGTCGCTGCTGCTGCTGCTGCTGCTGCTGTTAATGCTACTGCAGCAGTCGCCCCTGTTACTATGGTGGCACAGGCGAAGTTTCGGCACAAGATCGCCGCCACAAGCAGGACAGCGCGAGAGATTAGCCGCGCTGCGAGCCCCTGGTGCCAGTGCTGCTGCTGCGGGCAAGTTCCTGCGTCTGCCCCAGTTATTGCTGCTGCTGCTGCTGCTGCTGCTGCGGATGCTGCCGTTGGGGTTTTGCGCCGGTATTCCGGCGCACCCTGCTGACTTCTGCAGGCTACGTATGCGGCAGTCTATTATTTAACTGTCTTATGTGAAATTTAGTAGAACAGCGAAGGGGCAACTGCAGTTTCCGCTGCGTGTTTCTGCTGCGCTGCTGAAGCTGCCGCTGGTGCATGCAGCATCTGGTCGCTGTGAACTTCCGTAGTAAACTGTTCTCTACCTCTATCTTAAAGCACAACTTATTATTCATTACGAGGTATTTTTTTCATGTGGTCATTCTGAAGCAACGGCAGCACAATACTGCTGCTGCTACTACTGCTGCTGCTGCTGCTGGTCAAGGTGTCGTCTGGCATCGTTGCTGCAACACAGTTGTTGCGCTACTCCTGCTGTTTCGGTCTCAGAAACAGCAGCAGACAAATGAATCCGTTTGATATCGTGGAGGCAACTCTCTATTAGCCGCATATCTGTTGCTGCAGCCGCAGCAGGAACAGCCAGCTGCCACAGCAGCAGCAAGTCTAGCAGCAGCTGGCAGCAGCAGTTTGCACACATTCAGCTGCAACACTAGCGGGACTATTGGGGGATACAGCAGCAGCAAACTGCCGCCTGAGGCAGATACCGCGGCAGCAGAAAAGCGGAAGCAGCTGCAGCTTAACAGGTTAATCTATCGCAGCGCGCACCGGCTGCACATCAACTACAGCGGCAGCAAAAAATCTACAGATAGCAGCGGCGGCTGCTGCTTCTGCGGCAGCAGCAGCAGCGTCTGCTGCTTCTGCAGCAGCAGCAGCAGCGCCTGCTGCTTCTGCAGCAGCAGCAGCAGCAGCAGCAGCGCGCTGCTTCTTCCGCTCCAACAGTAGCGGAGACCGCACCTTTGCCGCTGCAGTGCCGACAGCAACAGCAACGAGGCTGCAGCAGCAGCAGCAACATACTGACGTCAGTGGAGCGTGTTGCAGGGAGCAGGACAAAGACTAAAACAGGAGGCGCAGCAGCAGGAGGGGCAGCAGCAGCAGAAGCAGCTGCAGCGGCAGCAGCAGCACATGCAGTAGGGCCTGACCCAATGGAGGTCATTCGCCACGGCCGCCCGCATGGCCTGCTGCTGGTGCAGCTGCTCGTTTTGCTGCTGCTGCTACTGCAGCCCTCAGCAGCTCACCCGGAAGCAGCATTCGATTGGCTAGAGGCGTCAGAGTTGCTGAGCCCACAGGCAGCTGCAGTTGCTGCTGCTGCCCTCATAGATCGAGACAGCAGCTCGCTGCTGCTGCAGCAGGAGCAGCAGGAACAGCATGAGCAGCAAGAGCAGCAAGAGCAGCAAAGCCTGCTGCTGCAGGCAGCAGCAGCCCGCGCAGATGAGCCAGCGCAGCAGAAGGATCAGCAGCGGGAGGGCCGGGGCGGAGGCTCTTCGAAGACTTCTGCGCCGTCCGTGGACCGCAGCTCAAAAGACAGCAGCAGCAACAGCAGCAGCAGCAGCAGCAGCAGCAGCAAGCGGCCGAAAGCGCAGCCAGACGCAGCCAGCGAGGCCCCACGCACCTGGCTGCTGATTTGCTGCAGCGCTTTGCTAGTTTGCTTCGCGGGCATTTCCAGCGGCCTCACTACGGGCTTCATGGCTTTCGACGAGCTGCAGCTGCTCGTGCTGCAGGAGACCGGCACCGAGACCGAAAGAGCCCAGTAAGCAGCAGCAGCAGCAGCAGCAGCAGCAGCAGTGAGCAGCAGCTGCAGCAGCGCTGCGCGCGTTGTGCCGGGGGTCCTAGGTCCCCCGTTGCCGGAGCAGCACGCAGGAAAGAACCGTGCAGCCCATTTGCCGCCCCCCATGCTGCCGCTGCCGCTGCTGCTGCTGCTGCTGCTGCTGCAGGGCGCGGAAGGTGCACGAGTTGCTGTCGCGGCGGCACCAGCTGCTGGTGACGCTGCTGGTGGCCAACTCGCTGGCCATGGAGGCCCTCCCCCTTTTCCTCGACCGCCTCGTCTCTCCCTTGCATGCAGTTCTTCTCGCGGTGACCCTCATTCTCTTCTTCGGGGAAATCCTCCCCCAGGCCGTCTGCACCGGACGCAGCCAACTCGCTGTCGCCGCCGTCCGTCCAGCGTCTAGGGTTTAGGGTTTAGGGTTTGGGTTTGGGTTTGGGTTTGGGTTTGGGGCTTGGGGTTTGGGGTTTGGGGTTTGGGGCTTGGGGTTTGGGGTTTAGGGTTTAGAATTTGGGGTTTAGGGTTTGGGGTTTAGGGTTTGGGGCTTAGGGTTTGGGGTTTACGGTTTGGGTTGGTTGCTGCAGCTGATGGCCCCGCTGGTGCGGCTGCTGCTGGTCACTTTCTCCATTGTCGCCATCCCTGTTGCTGCGCTGCTGGACCATTTGCTGCGCCCTTCGCATGCAGCAGCTTTCTACGGGAGGAATCACCTCAGGGCGCTCATTGGTAAGAAGCTGGTTAGCTGGCTAGCTAGCTAGCCAGCTAGCTAGGTAGCTAAGTAGCCAGGTAGCTAAGTAGCTAGCTAGCTGGGTAGCTAGGTGGCTAGGTAACTGGGTAGCTAGGTAGCTTGCTAGCTGGCTAGCTAGATACTAGCTAGCTAGCTAGATAGCTAGCTAGCTAGTTAGCTGGGTAGCTAGGTAGCTAGCTAGCTGGTTAGCTAGCTAGCTAGCTTGCCTAGCCAGCTAGCTAGGTTGCTGGGTGGCTAGCTGGCTAGCTGGACTTGGTGAGTTACCCAGTGGGCTTGCCAGCCAGCAGGCTGGATAGCTAGCTGGATACCCAGCTTGCCCTGGCGAGTTAACTTGCGAGTCTGCATCAGACCAGCTAGCCAGCTAGCTAGCCAGCTAGTTACCTAGGTACCCAGCTAGCTACCTAGCTAACCAGCTAGCTAGCCAGCTAGTTACCTAGCTAGCCAGGTAGTTACCTAGCTAACCAACTAGCCACCTAGCTAGCCAGCTAGCCACCTAGCCAGCTTGCTAGCCGAGGCAGTTGGACCTCAAGCCCCAGCTGTCTGAGTCTGTGCCTAGTCCCAGTATTCCTTTACAGTCTGCCCCCTCAAACTTTGCTGCTCGCTCGGCTGCCCCCCAAACCTCCTCCGCCCCCGCTGCTGCTGCTGCTGCTGCTGCTGCTGCTGCTGCAGGGCTGCACCAGAAGGGCCGCCGGCGGCTGCTGCGGGAGGCCTCCAGCGAAGACAGCGGGGGTCCCTCGAGGGCTTCCGGCAGCCGCGAAGAAGCTGCCAGCCCTTGGCTTAACAAAGACGAAGTCATGGTCATTCAGGGTCTGCTGCTGCGCCTCCCCTTTGCTGCAGCAGCAGCCTGCCCTTGCTGCAGCAGGCTGCAGCGAGCTGCAGCGAGCTGCAGAGAGCCGCAGCAGACTGCAGCGAGCTTCGCTTTGCTGTAGTTTGCTGTGACGAGCCGCAGTTTGCTGCAGGTTGCTGTAGTTTGCTGCAGTTTGCTGCATTTTGCTGTAGTTTGCTGCAGTTTGCTGTAGTTTGCTGCAGCGAGCTGCAGCAAACTGTAGTTTCCTGCAGCGAGCTACAGCGAACTGCAGCAGCCTGCAGCAAGTTGCAGCGACCTGGAGCACCCTGCAGCACACCACAGGTGGTAGGAGTAGCTGTAGTCTGCTGCTGCTACTGCTGCTACTTCTGCTGCTGCTGCTGCTGCTGCTGCTTCGCAGGCGCATTGGACATGGCGTCGAAGAGCATTGGCGACTTTCTGGTGCCTCTGGACCAAGTGTATCAACTGGTAAACCCTCGAAGGGCTGAAACCTAAACCCTAAACCCTCAGCCCCAGACGGCAAACCCTAGAGCACCAAGGGGAGCTTAGAGCCCCTCTGTAGACTCTAGGGTTTAGGGTTCGGAGCTCAGGGGAAGCTATTTGGCGCTGCAGCAGAGAGACGGGGGAGCAGCTGCAGCAGCAGCAGCAGGAGCAGCAGCAGCTTTTAGGCGTTTGGGTGTATGTACTGCAGGAGGTCAAAACCAAACTGACCCCGGAGGTTTTGATGCAAATACTTCGACGGGGACACTCCAGGATTCCTGTCTACGAGGGGTTTGTCCTGAGGGTTTAGCGTTTAGGGTTTAGGGTTTGGGGCTTAGGGTTTAGGGCGTAGGTTTTAGGGGTTTAGGGCTTGGGGTTTAGGGTTTAATGTTTACGGTTTTGGGTCTAGGGTTTGCGCTGGCTTCGCGCGAGCTAGCTAGCCAGCTAGCTAGCTGGTGGTGGCTAGGGGGGCCAGGCCAAGGAGGGTTCTGTTGCTGCTAACTCCTGCCGAATTCGGCGCAGATGCATGTGCTGCTGCTGTTGCTGTCGCTGCTGCTGCGGCTTTTGCTGCTGCTGCGGCTGCGCTTCAGCGAACGCCACAACATCCGTGGCATTCTGCTTGTTAAGAGCCTCATTTGCGTGGACCCCGGCGCAGGTAAACTCCTTGTTAAGTTGCTAGCTAGCTGTAACTAACTAGCTAGCTAGCTGTATCTAGCTAGCTAGCTAGCTGTATCTAGCTAGCTAGCTAGCTAGCTGTATGTAGCTAGCTGGCTAGCTGTAGCTAGCTAGCTGTATCTAGCTACGTAGCTAGCTGCGGCTAGCTAGCTAGCCGCGCCGCCCGACGCTCGGCGAGCTGCGCGGCAGTTTGCCAGCTAGCTAGCTAGCTAGCTAGCTAGCTAGCTAGCTGGCTGCAGCTAGCTGGGCTAGTCCGTGTGGGCTCAGTAGTGGTGGCCAGTCCTCCTATGTACAGCTTGTTCGCCCGATGTTGACTAGCTGCTGTTGCTGCTGCTGCTGCTGCTGCTGCTGCTGCAGGACTGACTGTAGGAGACGTCATGGGCTCTAACGCGTACCGCAGCTACTGCCGCCCCCTCTTTGTTTCTCCCAGCATTAATCCCTACACATTGCTCAACGCCTTTCAAGAAGCAAGCCAAAAACCCTAAACCCTAAACCCTAAACCCTAGCTGCGGGAGCTAAGCCCTTGTCCTAAACCCTTGCTGCTCTGCGCTCCCGTGCCCTGGGGATCCGTTTGCTGTCGCTATTGTTTACTGCCGGTGGCCCTAATCCTGCACTCGCTGCTGCTGCTGCTGCTTTTGCTGCTGCTCTTGCTGCTGCTTTTGCTGCTGCTCCTGCTTGTGCTGCTTCTGTTGCTACTTCCGCTGCTGCTACTGCTTTTGCATCTGCTACTGCTTGTGTTCCTGCTTTTGCTGCTGCTGCTGCTGCTGCTGCTTTGGCTGCTGCTGCTGCTGCTGCTGCTGCAGGCGCGGTGCCACTTGGCGTTTGTGACTCCGGACTTTCTGGCTTACGGGGAGGCCTGGCGGGACGGCCGGCCGCCCCCGCGAGCAGCGAATTTGCTTTGCTGCTGCTCCTGCTTGTGCTGCTTCTGTTGCTACTTCCGCTGCTGCTACTGCTTTTGCATCTGCTACTGCTTGTGTTCCTGCTTTTGCTGCTGCTGCTGCTGCTGCTGCTGATGTTGCTGACGGTGGTAATGATGTTGCTGATGATGATGGTGATGGTGATGATGATGGGGGTGATGATGGTGATGGTGGGGGTGATTATGGTTGTGGTGATGCTGCTGCTGCTGCTGCTGCTGCTGTTGTTGCTTGATTCGGCGGCGCTGGCCCCGCTGCTGCTGCTTGCTGGCACTTGTGACAGCGACCGTACGCTTGGTGTGAAAGATAGGGTATGGGCCAAAGCTTTTGCTGCTGCTGCTGCTGCTGCTGCTG